TCGGAGGATGCAAAGGCAGAATATAGGTACAAAGTGCTTGAAATTTAATTTTGAATGTTCCTCATCCTTGTCCTCAATTACAGAATCTTTTGGCTGAGAAGGTGGAACAGCTGATGGAGTGGAGCTCAAGGCGCTCCGTCATCCGTATGAATGGAGACAAATTCCGAAGATTTGTGAAGGCTCCACCTCGTAACTATTCTGTGATAGTGATGTTCACTGCTCTCCAGCCACAGCGGCAGTGCTCTGTTTGCAGGTAATATATACCTTAGTGATCTTTTTAATCTTCCTCGCCAGTTTTCAAGTGAACATTTTAATCAATGTGCAATAGACTGAGTAGGAATGTTCTTTGCATGGGATAGATGCTTACTATTTAACAGGCCCATGCGTTTGTTATAGCATCTTTCCAACTGCCTCTTAATCTATATGTAAAATTTTAGAAGTCTTCCTAGTTTTGGGCTTTCTTAAATTACAGTTGAATAAAATGTAGACAACTGAGGAAGACTTTCTCTTTAAGTAATCTGCTTTGCTTTATTATCAGTTGACCATGATCTTTTGAAAGACATTTTGTGACAGAAGTGATACATTACCATGTAATAATACAGCACTTCACTGATTTCTTCAGTTAAGAGGTGTCCAAGGCTCTGATGCAGATGTTGAGTTATCCTGTGATTTCAGTTTTCGACAGTTCTTACATGCAAGCACCTTTTTCCACGAGAACATGCTTATTGTGTAATAATGTCTGGCACTGCACTTTGATATGTTCTGGTGACTCCTTTTAGATTACATATTAGAGTGGCTCTGGTATTCTTCTAAGTTCAAGATCTTTCTCTGCAAGTTCCTAGTTCAATAAGTTAATCCGAAAATGACTAATGGTAGACATGGAAATAGGGCCAAGGGACTGAAAGGTAGTCATGCGCTTAATTACCTTGCTAAATCAGAAACTGAGCTAATAAAACCTTCAGCCAAAATATGTGTTAGAAATTATTGTGTTTAGTAACAGAATGGGATTATTGTGCAAGGAGTTCTAAACAGTATTTAAATAGGCAGCAAAATACTCCATAGGACTATGAAAAACGTAAGCTGTATATGAAGAAATTATTATTTCTTGGTTTTAAATAGGTGGACTTTGAACAATACACAAGGTTGGTAAATGTAGCAGCTTGTTAGATTTCTTAAGTGTTGGCATGTGACATGTGCAATAGAAACTTTAACTTGTGTATTTGTAGTAATATACAGTTTTTATTAGATTTTTTTTTATAAATTGTTTTTTTGTCATTGAAGTCAGTTGGCCAGTTTTGAGGGAGAGTATATAAATTGCATTCCCATGAGTTCACTCTCCACATCTGAACTGTGAAAGTGAAGGAGTAGGTTATAGAATCTTTCCAACATTCTTAAGTCAAAGGATTTTTTTCCTTTAAAACTTCCAGCGTGTGGTTGTACTTATTTCATCTTTGTGTTGGCAGAGTTCAACTTTAGGAGATGAATAGTAGTTCAAAGTTTACCATATTGTTTTAAATCGTTCCTTATTTTACTACGCAGAAGATAAAGCTGAACTTAGTGCATCTCCTGTAGCTTTATAAGGGTCAGTGTATTCATCATTATAATGGCTATCGCAAATTCTTCCCCTGTGTTATGTACAGATCTTTTTTTAAGCATGTGAAAACAACATAAATATTACCATTATTAAGGAAGTTAATTTTGCTTACAACTGTATATTGTTTACTGATCTGAAAAAGAGCTCGTAAACTTCATCCTGTAATATGCCATGCTAGTCGTTTTATGTACAGAAGCAACTGAAAATCTTTAAGCATAAAATGAAGGAAAAAATCAACATACTGCTTTCAGCTGGGTTTGTTTAAATAAATGTGAAGTTGCGATCCACTTTTTCATGTGAAATAAAAGGAATTTAATGAGGTTGATCATAGTGCACATAAAACCATTATCAGGAAAATTGATGTTTTCAAATCAATGGCTAATTAATGGACAGGAGCAGTGAAAGGATATATAGAATTGAAATGCATGCATTACTTTATTGTTAGCTATTCACTATCTGCTTTGCCTAAAGGAAAAATAGATTTTAACTTAATCTGTAATGTTTTGTGAGGATGCTTTTGTCCAAGATTTAAGTTAACTGTTACTCATAAAAATATTTTCAGGACAATTGCATACAAAAAAAATCAATGTCATATTTCAAACATAAAAAAAGCACCTAGGCTGAAATTTCTGAGTTTGAATAACTTTGTCACAATAATTCCTACTTTTTTTTTTCCCCTTAAAAATCCTCTGGTTAGCTTATGCACCACAGGATTATCTAAAAAATAATGTTTTTGTCTTTTCCCTTTGGTGGCTAGATTTGACATTTCAGTATTTTATCTCTTCTAAATGTCCAGTTTATGAAGATGAAGGGCATAGTATTCAAAAGGGAAAAAAAGATGTTTGTGTACTGCTGTTGCACAGAGCTACAACAAATGCTAAGCATGAAAAACGCAGCATTATACAAAAAAAGATAGCTAATAGGATGGGGAGCAACGGTAGGAAATGTGGTCCTCTTCTGGAGAAGAGCAGTGAAAGCTAATTGTCATTAGAGCAGGCCATTGCAGATTTGCACATTTGAGGCTAGAAGAGATCATGTGTGTCCTATCTCGTTTAAACAAACAATATTCTCTGTGTATCTGATTTTGCATTTGCTTATATTTGGAATGTTTGTTGTTAAAATATGCTTACATTAAAGTTGGTATGACTTTTCTGGCAGGTGTTTTGAATGATTGTGCCACCAAAGATGGAGAGGTAGCGCCTTGCATTCAGAAGGCGTGTCACTATTGGCACTCTTCAAAGTGAATGCAAAGTCAGTTTGGTGATCCAAGTTCTCTACCTAAGGACTATTGTACCTGTCCATTGCTGAAAAATGTTGTAGTTTGGACATTGTTTAGACGGTATGAAGGAAGGATTCCCCACCCCCAATCCTTTTTAACGCCAGAGAAGTTCCAAATTTTGGATAAAACTTGGTTGAAGAGATCTTAGCCAAGAGTTAAAATGCTTGGAGGCATGATATTTAAACATTTTTTAAAAGTCTTACCTATCGATATAGCAAGGACCTACATGTGGAAAGCTGACCAAATTTGTCTCAGAGAATGCAAAGCTTTTCTGCGCGCAGCAAGGAGGACATTGTAACATCAATCACATACATCACTTAACAGTTATGATTTGTGAAAGTATATGGAAATAATATCAACTTACCCTTAAAATGCCACATAAAAAGAAGTCCCTGGGAGTCCAGGTATTTGGATGAAACTTTTGTATGTAAAAAATCATCCTTTCAGACAAAGGAGCTGATCTTTTTTCAGTAAAACCAAAGCATGTTGTGTTTTGTAGGTATTCTTTAGCAGAAGTTACTTAACATAAGATTATTTTTTTTTTTCTCAGTGGAATGAGAAGGGTTTCGTTATCATTGTGAGAGATGAATACATAACTTTATGTATCAACTTGAGAAAGATCAATTAGAAAAAGATTTTTGAATGCCTTTTTTGCCAACTTTTTTGAAACTTACCTGTTCATCCAATGCTAGGATTGTTTGTTCCTGATATACATCATATTGTTATATTTAGTGCTTTCCCTTTACTTAATTTTGCTTGATTTGCTTCTAATTTTTGCCATTATCCCTTTTCAATATATACTTTCAAAAAAGTTAGAACTCTTATGTCTGCATTACTGATTGGAATTTATTCCGTGCCAAAAAATTTAGCTTGATTTATAGGTGTTTCTAAAAGACAACTACCAGTTTGTCATCTTTGAGACAGAGATTGCTTCTGTGAAAATGAAATGTTTTCACAAACTGTGGACTGGAAAATACATCCGTAGGCTATCTGAATCAATCCAGTCCTAACACATGAAGGCTTCTGTAAACCAGCAGCTCTGTATACATGCTAGTAGTGCCTCTAGTGATGCTTTTAGAGTGTTTTTCAAGGAAATTCTGTCTTTATCCTAAAGCAGAATTTGGAGTACAGCATTTCCATCTAGCTTTGTGGACAAGCGAGTTTCAATTTTCTGGTCCGAAAAACAATTGAAAGCCATCTGGTGCCTTCACAATTGTATTAAGTGGTAGCATAAATGTCAGTTTTCCTGTTGACACAATTGTTTAGGCTCAATATGACATAGCTGGTATTGAGATGTGAATTAACCATAACAGATTAAATATCCTATGTGCTCTTGAATGTGAAGTCATTGATGGGGGTGGGATGTACTTCTAAGAGTTGAAGATGTGGGGTTTTTTCCCATGCTCGTTTGGAAACATGTTTGATTAAACAGTTTTGGTCCCAGACTTAATCTTAATTGACTTTACATCTTATTATTCCTGGTGTATATATTCTGCAGCAGCACATTAGAAGCAGATACTAAGTGGTCCTTTAATGCACTGTGATGATGAATCACTTTGGATTTTTTTTTTGTTTGGATAAACAATGAGAAATAATCTAACTCTAAACAGTGACGACTCGGGATAGAAGACCGGTTTCCCTTTTTCCTTTGTTCTTAGGTATTCACTCAACTAGATAGTTTCTCTCTATTACCCACATCAGTCACACTACTGAAAAAAAATTACTTATGTAAGAAGGAGAACAAAAGAACGGTCACTCTGACAACAGCATCTTCACAGAGGTGAAGAGACTGTTTTTCAGCCTGTACTTTATATTGCATCCAGGCAAACAGTAACTACTAGCCTGACTTGAATGCATTTTTGTGTGAAAATTCTTACAGCTTCTCTGCTCTTTGTCATCTTGCCTCTTGCAATCTGTTCCCCTGTTTTATTATCACTACATTTTCCCAAAGCGATCGGCACCATTTTACCAACCAGACTTCAGCAACACCCCCGCTCCACTTGATTGTTAGTGCTTTGATTTTCAGCTGCACGTGGGCTTTAGCTCTAGCCTGCTGAAACAGTCACTGTACTGACCATTCTTCTGTGCCTTTCATTGTTATCTTTAACTTGTTCTTTTTTGTTCGTTGCTGTACCATCTAATCACTCCATAAACAAATTATATGAGGTCTTCTATTTTACTTTCCAAGCTCTGCTTCTTTCATCCCACTGGCAGAAGCAACCATCTCTGCTTTGCATACAGGTGCATAATCAGATGTCTTTGTTGTTGCCAAACGGGTCACATTTTTGCCTGGTTCATTTTTCAAATCCATTGATGGGATATTTTCATTTAGAAATGTATATCTGGGTCAGAGAAATGAAACTGGTCACTTGAGTTTAAC